AAAATCCCACCGTTGTTCCCCTACAGAATCCTCGACGCCCGTGTGGCTGAAACTTAATCCCCAGACACGCACGACGGAATCCTCAACGCTCGTGCGGCTGGAACTCAAAACCTCTATCTCAAATCCAAAAATACACGGTCATAAAATTATAAAATAAAAACTCAACCCACAACCAGATTTCTAATAAACCAATAAACATTATTCACTTACTTAATAAATATAATAACTCAGATGAGCACGTAAGACATTTATAATAGTAATAACCAATATCTAAATAATCCAATTTATATCACATAATACTCACCCTTTCCTTTTCCTAATTTTGTACCCATTATCTATATATGTATATATTTATATTACACAACCCACACAATCATCATGTACCAGGGGAAAACAATCCAACACGAGGATCTTTTTAACTAGACCACATGGCACAATCCTCAATACTCATGTGGCTAGGGAATGAGCAGTCCAACCGGGGGACTATTGCTCCCCAGACACGCGCGGTAGAATCCTCAATACACGTGCGGCTAAATATCCCTCCTACACGCGCAGACTGCTGGTCAAGGCCTTCGGTACACCCAGTCAAGGGTGCCTGGTATCCCGACACACCTCCGAAGAGTTACCATGTGTCTAATATATCAAGTATTAATAACAGGAGAGGTACATATCATAGTGCACATCATGTAAAGGGGGAAAACAATCCAACACAGGGATTGTTTTACTAGACCACATGGCAGAATCCTCAGTACTCATGTGGCTAGGGAATGAGTAGTCCAACCAGGGGACTATTGCTCCCCATACACGCACGGTAGAATCCTCAATATACGTGCGGTTGAAAAAAGTCTTACGTGTGCGGAATCCTCGTCAAGGTACAAATCTATCTGAAGTTATGTAGCATCGGACACAATGCTGTCTGAAGTAACTTATTGTAGCTTCAGGTACAAATCTGTCTGAAGTGATGTACTGTAGCATTGGACACTTTTGCCTGAAGCGCTAGTTGACCATACGATGGTCAATGTTCGCGATTGGCTTCTATTCGAAAGGCTTGGTCCACGGAAGCATCGATTAGCCCCTTTTAGACGTTGAAATGGCTCTTGGTGATTAGGCCTCAGTTAACTAACCACAAAATTGGCCCATTAACTGTAGAAATTAAACTGTGTTAATTTTGGTCCGAACAAATGTAAACAAACCCACCACTGTCAATTGATTCAAAGATCGAATAACGTTGATTCTACCGCCTCTTCCGTCAACTCCTACATCAATCAAACGATCAGTATCTGCACTTGTTTCTAATCCCTTGTTCAAATTTTGCTTGTAGTATTTAACTAAATATATGTTTGTTCCATCATGCCCAAGCAAAGCCACCAGAAAAACATATATCCCCACAACAACAAAATTAACAATTGTTACCTTTTTATTGGTGGTTGTTGGCATCATTAGTCACCTTTTTTGGTGAGTAAAAACAATAGTCACGGTGCAGTTACAATTTTGGGCTTTGTTACATATGAAGCCATGACTAAAGCCTATTCTCACCATTTTAACAACATTCATGACAAACACAAACTGACTCTCAACAACATCTAAAGGTACAATGGGGCCCATCATCTATCCAATCAACTTTAGTTTATAATATTTTATTACTTATTTGACTAGTTAGTAAATTTTTTTCATATTACATAGTTGGATTCTCAATAGCATTTAGTACAATGGGGCCCATCAAATTCAACAATTTGACAATACATTTTTGTTACTTAAATCTATATTTGTGTATTAGATTTATTAAAAAGAATTAAAATTTCTATTTGAATATTTCTTACTTTTCATTTTCCAATAATTAATTAATAAAAATATTGTTTTTATTGATGTCTGGTCTTTATTGTAATTTCATTATAATTCAATAAATAATTTAATAAAGATATTGACTTTCATTGCAATTTCTTCCGGTACAGTAATCATTTCATAAACATATTAACTTTGATTTCATAATTTTCATTACAATTTACACATATGGAGGATTAAACCTCCCAAAATATTAAGTCACTGGTAACTAAATATATAATCATTTGGGATCTACTTTCAAAATAACTAATTTCATCCCACTTGAACTTGGTCTTCAAAAAGGAAATGGCATACCTTAGAACCAACGAAACAGCTATGATCAAAATACCAAACTAACATGTATTTTGGTATTATAAATTTCATAATACCACAACACATATATGTTGATAAGCATGGTGTTAACAAAAGCATAATGGTATTGCATGGTCTAGATACCATAAACTCTAACCATATTTTTCAAACTCCGAACACAAGGCCTACATTCCTTGCATGCTCCTTTTCTTCTATCCCCTTTAGTACTGGTTTATAACCATCTTGATCAATTAATGTTTGGCTTGGCATGTAAGGTGAATGTAAGGTTGCACTCATAATTTCTTCCAATCTATTAGAATCAAGTGCTACTTGTGGAGTGCTTGGTGAAACATGTCCCAGTAGCAATTCAGAATCAATGTTAGAAACATTGCTTACACTAGCTAAAACCTTTTCCATGATGGCTTGTTGTTTTGTTAAAAGTTGCTCCAAACGTTTCACCTTTTCCGTTGTGGCTCTCCCATCTTCTCTCATTTTCCTTTTAATTCTCTCTTCCCTTTCATTTGCATCCTTTGTAACCTACACTATTCTTTCTTCGTAAGACTCACGCATATCATCAAACTCTAGCCTCAAACCTCTTCTTTCTGTCAACACACCTGACACATCCTTAGGTCTCACCCCTATGCCATATCCTCTCACCTGATTACACTTCTCTCTCCAAGCACTTCAGAATATACAATATTGATTTCCTCTGCTGTTACTTCATCTGGTAGTTGGTTTTGCATCTTTTTATCCATAATATCAGTGATCTTTGAATTCATATCTTCCTGCATGAAGTAATCACAAAGAATATATATATATATATAATTAGTAACTGTGCATTCTACTCCATGGATGCCTCTATCACAAGCAACACAAGACAATATATCCTAAAATACAATCAAATTCAGCCTTACCATAGCTTTTGCAACTGTCTCATTCACAGGTGTTCCATTATTTCTTAGGTGGCACAATTCAAACATTTTGCATTAGTTAGGGGAGACACCCCTGTGATTTACCTTCTAAAATCCACCAGATAGTTCACATATCAAATATCATTTTAAATTATAGCACGAGTATCTAAAAGAAGTTTTTCTTAAGCCATCCACAAAATTACTTGTTCATGGCCCATTAATTAAAAAATTGAAAATACATACCAACTGTCTTATTTTTTTTTTATCATTTATATAAGATCAAAACATTATGAGAATGTACATAAGCAAACTTACAATATGATAACATGCTCCACGTTAATTGACTAGAAAAACTGTGACACTTACATATTGTTTCATATTGTTTCCTCACTTGTGCATATAGTTTTGTCCCCGTTGTGTAGTGCATCCTGCGCTTCGCACAATTACATTTATTTGTGATTGATCGTTTCTGTATGAATATTTTATACAGCATCAAACAATTGACCATTTGAAAAAATAAAAAACAAAGACATATTTCATGTTTTACCTGCATTGGACCAGTCTCCCAATATTTCACCAATAACCTCCATTGTTCTTTGCTAACCCTGTCATCAGTGCAATTCCATCGCTCCTATGAATTGAAAAAAGGATCATACCAATTCTTTTTTAGATTGCCCTTGTGTTTCTTCCAAAGACGATTGAGTTTCTACTCAGCCACGGCCCATATTTTGGGTGCCTTCTTTTTAGTTTCCAGATCAAACCAATTAATTGTCCTCTGCATTCATTTTAAACTATATACATTAACATTTTAATGGTTTGACATGTATAAGTTAATCAGAGTAGTCAATTGAAACACGAAGACCAAAAGCGCTAACAATTCACTACTCTTAAAGTTTTGGTAGAGAGGTTATTGAGTTGTATTCATTTGTAGAATGTATACAAGATGCCTATGAGAATAGGTTATAAGAATGAATAATATACAAGATATGAATTATATATAAATGAAAATGTCATGGATTATAACGAGAAAGGCAGCAGAAGTTGGACGCTGCTTTGATTCCCTTTAGTCAGGGCTTTCGACAAACAAGTGGTGGCCGTTCTTGCCCAGCCACTCAACCAATCAAGGGGTCAAGATGCCAACTTAAATGGTGTTTTACATCGTCTGAGAGGTCAACTGACCTTGTTTGGCCCAACGTGGCCTCTGATAAAAAGCCTTTACATATTAACACATGTGATACAGACAGATAATACCAATAGAATATTGTATAGATAAAATTATTTATAAACAAAACCAAGTCACAAAATACTTTATACCTTGATTCGTTTCCATGCATCGCCTAGTGTCGTTCCACGTTCAAAATGTCGCCAATCTAGTACATCAATTGGAAACAAACCTTGGTCCACAACCATTAGCCCTAGAAACCTTTGCCATCGAGCTACTGTTTCTTTTGGGGCAATGGCTTGACCCCTTGCATTAAACTCCACCACCTCAATGCTCTCTGTTGCCCAGTTTGGTCTGTTTAACCCACGCGTTGTACCATCATGTACGATACTACCGTCGTCTTCATGGTCGTCAGCAACCTCATTTACAATTCCTTCCACATTTCTTGGCACATCATCTTCTTCCCGATTGTAAATTTGTGTGTTCCTAATACTCGTATGTGTGCTTCTTAGGGGCAACTGCGAGTCGTTGTTTGAATCCAACGAAGCACTATCACCCATGTATTCTATAGAAAGACTGAGAGTAAAGTAGATTTTTATTTTGTCCAAAGAGTAAAGTGGGTTTTTCTTTTGTCAAGAGAGTAAAGTGAGTTTGTGAAAAAGCACTTATGCCAGTTTTGCATTCCCAAAGCATAATTAACATTTGGAAAAAAAAAAAATTCAAAACTCAAAATAATTCATCAGGCACCAAAACACACTATATTGGCGCCTAATATCCAAATCTCATGTTTAACTTCCTTTAAAAAAAAAAAAAGAGATACCTTCTTTTAAATTAACAAAAGTATAATAAACCAATTAAATTTGTCCAAAATTAATTAAAGAGATGTGGGTATTTCACCACCAAAAAAAAAAAGGGATATTTATATTTTTGACCATTTATATTGTTGTACGCTTCCCAACATTTTAAGTGAAAAAAAATTGGCAAGTTTAATCAAGTCAGACACTTATTTCTTCAACCTAACAACCTTTAGCTATTGCTTCACTTTCCCCTTCTTTTTTGTTTATCTTTGCCTGAAGTCTTTTTGGTCCAGCCTTCGTTCTTGTTCTTTTGCTCTTTTTGTGGCAATGAATCAGTTTCCAAATCCACCAAAGACTCCAAGAAAACCACATCATAAAAAATGTCCAACTGCAAAATGTAAGTTGGATTTTGGTGAACCAATGTACTCAACTGAAGTTCCAAATGATAACATCAAAGAAAACGTTCCACACGATAGGATGAAAGAAAAGGTTTCAGCTAAATCCTTGTCAAGGTCATCATCCATGAATTCCATAGCATCAGTTCGCGAAGAAATGCTGAAGATTTCGCTGCCAATGTTGTTTAAGGAGGACGGTTCATGGATCATGCCTGCAATAAGTCATCAACCACCACAATCTCCCTTGATGAAAACTCAAACTCATCCAATTACCATGCAATATTCAGCAAGTGCACTAATTAATCAATCAACACCTGTGAAAAATGGTGAGTCTAAAATTTTAGATGTTTTCTCTAATACTGATTCTGAATGTTTTGGCACAGCTTGCAATCATGCTGGTAAAACTGAATTTTTCTCCTAAAAAAAAAGTGATGTTCTAAGGATAAAACCACTTACGAGTCAACACGGGTGTATGAAGACTCTTGAATATGGTTCTACTAGTGAGTATGAATCAGTGGAACTGATGATGGGGAGTAGTATTCACTTAAAATTATGTATAAACTGTGTAATTTTCTCTTCTATGTGCACGTTATTAATGTTTATTGTATGTGTACTACGTCCTTATGTCATTAACATAAATGCCAAAGTTTAAGTATACATGATTGCTTTCAAACTTTCAATACATAAACAACTTTAGGAATAAGAAGTTTTCGTTTTCTTTCATCTGAAATTCATTACTATAAATGCCAAAGGCTACTGCATACAAGACAAAAATCCAATAGATAAAGGCAACACCTATGCAAAGGAGGCCAAAAGAGAACAAAACAAGGACACCTGCCCTATACGTATGAATTCATAGACTCGCATGTCAACCTGATTCATCATCTGAATTTGGTTCCTCATCAGTTCCTCCTTCACTATAAGCAGGGACTTGTAGTGGCAACAATCTGTTTACAGTGATTCCACGAACATCGGTTCTTACTTCTATTTATTCATCTTCAATCAATGCATCGTCCAGATTTTGGGGTTCGCAAGGATCAATGTGGCTAGTATTATTCATGTCAAGCAAATCCCGGGGCTTGGTTTTTCTTGCAACATGCCAATCTTGTTCCTTAGGATCTTGCACATAATAAACTTGTTGTGCTTGGGATGCTAGTATGAGTGTATCCCCAGAGGCCTGGAGATGATTGAAATTAACCAATTGAAAGCCATATATATCCGCTTTGACCCCATTATTATGACCACTAGTGTTTGGCCAATCGCAATCGAACAATACTATCTTCGTTAAGCTCAATAATGTCAGTAAGAACCTCATAGTAGTCAACCCTACCATCAATTGGATTACTTGCATAACTTGTAACCTCGGATGTAACAAATACCCCACTATTTTGAGTCTTATTCTTTTTATCAAATTTCTTCACTCGAAACCGATAACCGTTGATAACATATCTCTTATACTTCTTACACCAACGACTAGGACCTGAAGCCAATGTACACAAGTCTTCATGGACAGAACCAGCTGCATGTACTTGCATGTTCTTCACCTACTCATATATCCAAAGAAAGAACAGTAGTTGTTTTAATTCAAAAGTCAATAAAGGCATGCGTATGACATACTGCTAAAATCATGTTTTCTTACATGTTTGTTAAACCAACTTGGGAAATTTTTCACTGATTCTCGATCAGCCTCCCACAATGTCCTTCTTCCTCTATTTGCTCTCCCAGCAAGGTTGTGATTTTTGAAGAAATATGTAGGTTATAAGCATAATAACTAGAATATTATATAAATTAATCTTATTAATATCCAACTAATGCAAACCTTTCAAATGGTTGCACTTCAGGACAATTGGATGAGACATATCTTGAGAAACTCTCCCACTCGGCCTCATCCATATGAACTAACAAACCCTTAAGACCAATGTGATGACTAGAATTTAGAAAGACTAAAAATCCACCAAGGACATTTCGAGCTCCGTGATCAGCATTTCGGTTCGGTCGATTGCGTCTTGATGCGACATCTTATAGGTACATGGAGCAGAATGATATATATAGTGTCTTCCGCAATATATCCTAATGTAATTGATCCTTCAGGATGATTTTTATTACGCATGTATTTTTTCAAAGTTCCCAAAAACCTATTTTATAGCAGCAAAAAAAAAATAATTATGATAACACAAATATGCACGTGTATAAAAATAAAGCATTATTGTTCAATAAACATAAGGGAAAGAATGGATTTGTACGGATACATCCATCCATAGTGGACTGGACCTCCAATTGAGGCTTCTTCAGCAAGGTGAAACAACCATACATGAGAATATCATTTTCGAGAGCCGTAGGTCCTGGAATTATGAGTGATATATAATATCATGTATGGTTGTTTCATGCACATCCAAGGAGGGAGATTGTACACTGTGATCATGACAGGCCAAGTGCTATGAGCTCATGTGGCCAAATAAAACCGTCGTTGGCTAACCCCAACGAACATTACACTGCTCATCTGCAAAAAGAGGGTATTCTTTATCCAAATATTTCGATGCAGGAGAATCTGTTGGGTGTCGAAGTATCCCATCATTCGTCCTTTCCTTTGCATGCCACGACTTGTGATTGGCTGTATACCTTGACAAATATAAGCGCTGCAATCAAGGTGTTAGTGGAAAGTGATTCGACATCTTATAGGTACATGGTGCAAAATGATATAGTGTCTTCCGCAATATATCCTAATGTAATTGATCCTTCAGGATGATTTTTATTACGCACGTATTTTTTCAAAGTTCCCAAAAACCTATTTTATTGTAGCAAAAAAAAATTTTATGATAACACAAATATGCACGTGTATAAAAATAAAGCATTATTGTTCAATAAACATAAGGGAAAGAATGGATTTGTACGGATACATCCATCCATAGTGGACTGGACCTCCAATTGAGGCTTCTTCAGCAAGGTGAAACAACCATACATGAGAATATCATTTTCGAGAGCCGTAGGTCCTGGAATTATGAGTGATATATAATATCATGTATGGTTGTTTCATGCACATCCAAGGAGGGAGATTGTACACTGTGATCATGACAAGCCAAGTGCTATGAGCTCATGTGGCCAAATAAAACCGTCGTTGGCTAACCCCAAACGAACATTACACTACTCATTTGGAAAAAGAGGGTCGTCTTCTTTATCCAAATGTTTCGATGCAGGAGAATTTGTTTGGTGTCGAAGTATCACATCATTTGTCCTTTCCTTTGCATGCCATGACATGTGATTGGCTGTATACCTTGACAAATATAAGCGCTGCAATTGAGGTGTTAGTGGAAAGTATCTAAGCACTTTAGCCGGGACTTTTCTGGAATCATCATTCTCCTCCACATCTTGTTTTTGGTACCTACTTTGCCCCCAATGTTTACAAGAATCATCAAGTATAGACTCTTTCTAGTATAGCATACAATCATTCGGACACGCATCAATTTTTTGGTATGTCAAACCAAGATCCTTAATTAACTGCTTTACATCGTAGAAGTTGTCCGATAATGTCTCCCCATTTGGAAGAATACTTTTCACCAACTTTAACATGATATCCATTCCTTTATCAGTCGAACCTGACAAGCATTTGGCTTGGTACAGTTTAACAAGAAACTCTAACTTCTTCATCTTTGTTGAACCAGGGTATAAGTGTGTGTTTGCATCATTGAGTAAGTTGTAAAACTTTTCTGCATACTCAGCTCGCACATTAGTAGTTTGACCCTTTGTATCAACATGGTGATCATTCGCAGAGCTATCACTCCCAAAAACATCATACAAGATATTGTGGATTTCAACTGTGGGTTCACACAATTGTTGTTCTTCTACATCCTCCATGAAGTCAGGGTCAGGTAAATGTTCACCATGAAAAACCCAGACTTGATCTTCATAACGTGGATCCATCCCTTCATATAATAAGTGTGCCCAAACAAGATTTGGTTCATGCCAAAACCGATTATAACACTTCTTGCAAGGACATTTGAGCATCCCATCTTGCAAGTCATTAACCACCCATTCAAATGTCACCAAAAGTATTTTGTTGCTATAAAAATGTGACTATTGCTTTCTTTTTTTGTAGTGCCCCTGTATTTGGAAGTGAATAACAAAAACAAAGTTAATAATATATGTGGTCTGGGAAGTGGTTATGGAATAGGAGACTCCTTTCTGATGTTAAACATGGGTTGGAGGCCAAAGAGGTTAGGTGGTGGTGGGCGCATGGAGAAGGGATGGTGGGTAAGAGGGGCTGATGGCGGAAAAGGGGATGGGGTAGGAATGTTGTTGTTGAAATATTAAATTTTATATTGATGTTAATGTTAATTATTATTTACTTAATATTAAATATTTTTTAATTAAACAAACTAAAGGAATTGAGCCTTTGGACTGAATTTGTTAACTACTGCAAATACAG